TCTTTCAAATTTTCAAACACCTGATGATGCCATCATGCCAACTCTGTCAAGTCGATATGTATAGAATTTCTGATGCTTCTTTTATCCCTCTTGATCTGGAGGAGCTTGTCAAAGACACACCATGGAAAGCTTACGAAACGCTCCCTTCCCGTTCCCTCCTTGTAGCAACCAACAAAGTAACGAGGATGATAAGTAACGTAGTACCACGCTGATGCTTTTGCTGCACATGCATCATCGCCATCGGTGCTGACATTCAACCGAAATTCGCTTCCCTGCTTCTCATAAAACCATCCCCTAGCTTCCTTCTTCAATGACCTTACCGCGAGACCAATATTTGCTTTCAAGTCCTTTCTTGTATCGAAACATTTGGATGTTTGAGCGAAAGTCCCACTTAGTATTTCGGCTTCACTTTTGATGCCGTAATATTCCATCAGGTTTTGCAGCTTGCAGTCATACTCACGTCTGTAACGGATGGCCTCATTGATGTAGAGCTTAAATCCATCTACCTCCATGTCAGGGTCATAACACTTCTTAGCCACTTCCGCAGTGAAGGACTTAAATTTAGAGCTTGAACATGAATGAGATACAAGCTCAACATGCTCCTTCACCTGTCGGAATAGCTTCCCGATCACTCCTTTGGACTCGTAGGTGGGTTTGTCAAGCTTTTCCATGAAATCTGGGTATTCCTTGGCACGCAGACGACCCGGCATTTTGACTAGCTGACCAGTTTTCGGAGAGTCAACAGCGATGGAGTTGAGCTTGGCGAGATCTTTACACGGAGCACTCATAGCCTTGTCTGGCTCTGTGTCTGCAAAGACAGTATGAGCAGTTGAAATGATCCCCAAGTTGTCGTTGACTATGTAGTTTGTAAAAGACTCCTCAACTTCCTGTAACAAACACAGTATAACATCAAGTGTAAAAGGAAATATGTTAGAATATATGCATGATATAATTTTACTTGATAAACTCAGAGTCATATAATATACCTCCAGTGTAACATCATGATCCAATTGCACAGTTCGTGCCGGGGAATAATTCATGGGTTCAATTTGGCGAGGAGGAATTAGATCAGGGTCCCAACTCACTAAGTACAAATCTCCATCCAAATCACCTCCTGAGCATTCATTAGGATGTGGTCTAATTTGATGGCAAAGCAAATATAGTCAGTAAATAGTTCAAGCAATCTGAAACAGGTTTATAATTTCATCAAATGCAAAGTTACCTCTTTCCTTTCTGCGGGAAAACAACACAATCCACCAGGTGGTGCAATGCAGGCACATTGACAGCCATAAGAACACGCA